GGGTGGCTGGCGGGCTCGGAGCGTGGCCATAGGTCTTGTTACATTGGATCGTGGCATCGGAGGTGCGGATCCGCTGTTGCTTTGCGAGGGGCCTTGGCCTCGGAGGGAGCTCCTCCGAATGCCCAAGCGGCAGGGTCCGCATGCCATACCCGCACCCGATTTGGCACAGCCCACAGAATTCGTGGCTCCGAATGAGCTCCACCGAGGGCCACAGCGGCAGGGTCCGCATGGCGCACCCGCATTTGCTTTGGCTCACCCCGCACACGCGCCGCAGTCCCACAGGGAGCTGCATCCATGGCCCGAGTGGTAGGGTCCGCATGGCGCACCCGCGGCCGATGCGGCGCACCCCTCACATTTTTCGTGGCCCCAAGGGAAGCTCCACCGAAGGCCCCATCGGCAATGTCCGTATGGCGTATCCGCATCCGATTCGGCACGCTCCTCACACGTTTCGTGGCTCCAAGGGGGCTCAATCGAAGGCCCCAGCGGCTGGGTCCGCATGTCGTACCCGCACCCGATTCAGCACGCCCCTCAAACGTTTTGTGGCCCCTGGGGAGCTCTACCGAAGGCCCCTGCGCCCCGCATGGCGCACCCGCACCCGATTCGGCACACCCCGTCCAACTCTCGTGGCCTCATAGGAAGCTTCACCGAAGGCCCCATCGGCAAGGTCCGCATAGCGTACCCGCACCCGATTCGACACACTCCTCACACGTTTCGCGGCCCCATAGGGGGCTCAACCGAAGGCCCCAGCGGCAGGGTCCGCATGGCGTGCCGGCGCCTGATTCTTCTCACTTGCCTCGCGGTACCCGCAGCTTCACTTGGTTGGTCCCTTCGCCAGGATAAGTCTACAAGGGACCGCGGCCTCGAAGGCGCGAGTTCCTCCATGTGCTTACAACGATCATGGGATCGAAGGTCCTGACCCGTTGATGTTTGCCGGGGGTCGTAGCGTCGAAGGCGTGGACCCGTTCTCCTATAAGAGATCGTTGCCTCGGGGGCGGGGGTGCACCGTTGCTGTTGCGAAGGGGCCGTGGCCCCGACGGCGCAGATGCCTGCTCTTCGTGGCTGCGAAGGCGTTGGCCCACTGGCTTACGAGGACCCGGGGCCCCGAAGGCGCAGCTCTGTCACTCGCGCGTGTCCCGGGGCGCCCAGGACGTCTGAGGGCCTGACCCGGTGGTCCTGGCAGGGTGCCTTCGGGCCGAGTGGGGTCGCGCGACTGCTCAGAAGATTGAGCTCCCTGTTCGAGCAGCCGAACAGCTCTGTGCTCTGAAGATTGGCAGCCAGGAGATCTCTGTTGCGAAGCTGCTGAGCTCCCGGGGGCACTGCAACGTTTCGAGTTACCACGGCGTGCCGATTGAAGCCAAGCTGCTCAGCCGCCCTGTTGCTGAAACCCTCGCGTCGGAGCCTGGTGGCCCTAGCAAGGGATGCGGCAGATACAAGCGGGGGAGTCCTGGAGGGGCTGATGGCTAGGCAGAGGTGGACACAGTCCGAGAAGAGATGCTTGGAAATGGATGTTGCGCTCGCGTGGTACTGAATGCCTCGCGCGAAAGCGCGATGTTCAGATTTAGTCCATTGAGTGCGGCCGTTTCGGCTCCGTTGCTGTGCATGGCCTTGCGTTGCATTGCACGTGGTCGCATTGCAGTGCGTCGCCTTATTTACGCGCACACACGCATACCGCCACGCACGCAAGCACGCGCACCACCAACCATTACGCACGCGCGCACACACACACGCACACACACACATACACACGCCGCCGCCACCACCACCACGCACGCCACCACCGCACGTACATTCTACCCCATGATTTTGCCAGACGCGGCCTTTGTCGGAGTCACAGTTCCGCTACGACGCGCGTCTTCCGGCCATTGTGAGACCCTGTGAAACGCGCGAATGCGTTCGGCGCCGAGGGCTCCGTGGCATTGTGAGACCATGTGAGACTCGCGGGTGGGCTCGGTGCCGAGGTTTCGGGGCGATTTGAAAGCCTTGAAGACGCGCGACTTCGCTCGGCGCTGGGGGTTTTGTGGCACTGTGAGACCATGTGAGACTCGCGGGTGGGCTCGGCGCCGAGGGGTTCGGGGCGATTTGAAACCCTTTGAGGCGCGCGACTGCGTTCGGTGCCGGGGTTTTCGTGTCACATTGAGACCATGTGCGACTTGCGGATGTGCTCGGCGCCGACGGTTTCGGGGCATTTTGAGACCTTTTTAGACTGTGTGAGACCGCTTGGAGACCGCCACCGGACGCATCCGGTGTGAGAATTTTTGCCATGTCGTGCAGATTGCGAGACTCATCCGGTTCTCATTGTTATACTAGGAGTAGGACAGTCTCAAGGCGGTTCGAGCGCGGACGGGGCCGCCGCCGAGCGGATGGGGCCGCCGCCCAGGCGCGAACCAAGCGGTGCAAAATTTTAGTCCGCCTGTTGGCCTACATCGGCTCGACGTGCGTGCAGCGCCGGATGTGACTGTGATGTTAGTTGCCGTTGATATGATGTGTGCTCAAATGCTTCCATGCGAAATCTGGAGCATTTCGTTTCCCACTTTTCTCCGATTGTATCGTGGCCGGGGCCACGATCTCTCTCCAGATGTCACGGCCCCCTGTTCTTTCGGTCGGTTCGCTGGCGCCCCCCTCGTCCGCGCGCATGGTTCCAGCCACGATTTGCCACAACCCCTCTTGGACGCCCCCTCCTGGGCGCCTCCGATGCAACGTCGGTTTGCCGAGGGTCGCGGGACCGTCCCGCGTCGAGTCTCGCCACGTCTTGCCCCCGCTGCCCCTCGTGCAGGACACGACGGCACCAAGCGTTGCGACCACGCTGGCAACGCAGGAAGACAAACAGCGGCCTTGCATCCGAGTGGACGCGTTGGCAGGTAGGTGACAGGATACAGCCGAATCCGCGAGAGCGGCGAAAGGCGACGAGTCGCGGTCAGAAGCCATCCCCAAGATAATAATGGATTAGAACATCGGCAAGAGGCCGGATCAAGTATATGAATCTATTGAATGCGCCCAATGTTGTCGCGGACGGCCTCTGCGCCAAAGCGCGACCCATTGTTTAGGAGTGCCGTCGGGATTGCACGCCACTTGTCGCACCAGAGAATCGCAGTGGGTCGAACCAAAATGGAGGCATGCACCTTCCTTTGGTCGGCATTGGGGCCGCTGGCGGCGCCATCAGCGCCACCCCCAGCGCGTTCCGCGCGCCAGGGATGGGGGGTGCAGCGCCGATCCGTGAAATCCGCGCGGACCTCCAACAGTTCATGTTAATGCCGCATGGCCGTTTGTGCTCGTCGTATGGGGAAGGGTGGGCGGGGTATGATACCATCTGTGGCGCAAGCGCCCCCATCCAGCCTTCATCCACATGACACTTACACATTCGGAATACTGGTTCCCCTTCTCCCCTGACTCCGCCCAGAAGATGGCCAGTTCTTTCCGCGTATTGTTTTGTTGCTCACAGAATTGGACAACAGTGTTTTTCCCCAAATTGGCTTGCCTAAAGGGTTCTGGTTTGGTTCCAGGCTGGTGCCTCCTCTTCTTACTTTACTCGTTTCCAGGGGGGTCCCCGGGCTCCCCAGGTTCAATGGATTTCCCGCCCCCCGTGCCTCCTATTGTCACGTTGCCCGTTCCCGGGGTGTTCCTTGGGTTCCCCGCCCCTGGTGCCGCATGCCAGGCAATGCCAAGCAATGCCAAGCACTGCGCCCATGAGGTAGGAGTGTTTCCTTATTTGGGTTCGCGCCGGGTTTATTGCGAAGGCCTTACGGCCTGTGCCGCCGACCCTGGAGGCCACGAGTATGGAAACGCGGGGGGGGTGGAGGAGGAGGAGGAGGAGGTGGAGAGGGAGGAAGGGTGGAGGAGACAGTTGAGGGCCGCTTGGGAGCCTCGCGTTGGCCTCTTGGAGCTTCCAGGGGGTCTCTTGGGAGCATATTGGGGCTTCGTGGGGAGCTTCTTAGGGGCCTATGGGGGCCTCCTGGGAGCTTCGGAGGCCGAGGGTTCGAAATGTCCGGTCGAGTCTCCAGTCTGGGCTCTCTCTTGGAGCCGTCTTGAAGACCTCTTGGGCTATCTTGGAGGCGTCTTGGGCGGTATTGGGGCGGTCTTGGGGGCCTCTTGGCCTGTCTTGGAGCGTCGGGAAGCTGAGAGTGCCCAAATCTTTCAAAACCTAGGGGGAATCTATGATTTTTGCTTCTTGGGGCCCTGCCCTTGGAGTGGGAACTTCCGAAGCTGTCTGGAGGCTATCGCGACTTGGACCGATACTTCGGCGATTCGGGGCCCTCGAGGACATTCTTGGGGGCCTCTCGGGGCACTTTTGCTACGTCTTGGTGATTGTCTGGGCTCCCGAACCGCCTGGAGGGGAGTCGTATCTGACCGGGGACCCCCCCCGGGACCCCCCCCCGGCGGGGAAGGGATCAAAGGGAAGGGACTTCCCTTCGACTCAACTACAGCGCTGCTCAATTTCGCTGCGGCTGGCGCGCTCGAGGAGGAGGGCCCGGTGAAAGTGGAGGCAGCGGCGCCAGGCTCAGGGAAAGGGAGGGGACCGGCGACGGCGACAGCGACGACGACGACAACAACGACCACGACGACGTCGAGGACGAGTCGAACGGAACAGCCTCTTCCACACGACGACAGGGTCGACGGATGTTTGTTTTTGTTGTAGTTCTGTGATTTGTGTTTGGTGTTTCACGAAGGTGCCCTCGTTGCAGCGTGGGCCTGATGTTTGGATCGGCGCTTTGTTCCTGTCGTTCAGACTGGCGCTCTCGCCCCAGCGCGTGCCACTTTCTTGGGTCCGATTCCTTCCTCATCGTTGTCGCCCGCCTCATCTGCCATGACACGCCTTTGCGGACTAAGAAATGATCAGCCGAAGGGGAAAGGGAAAGAGAGGGAGGGACATGATGCCAGATGTGGCTCGAGCGCAATTCGCTCGCCCCCTGGCCGCTCTCCCCTCTCCCTTCTCCTCTCCTCCCCTTCCCCCCCTTCGCTCCTACCACCCCCCCTTTCCCTTCCCCTTCCCTTCCCCCCCCCCCCCTCCCCTGTCCCTCCTCCTTCCCTTTCCTCTCCCTCCCTTTTCGCCCTTCTCTCCTCCCCTCTCCCTTCTCCTTGTCTGCCCCTCCCCCTCCCATCTGTTTCGCCTAGCAGGCTACCCCGCCAGGGGCGCTGGCCTCGCCCCGTCTGGCTCCACGGGCTCCTTACATACTGGCCCGAGCGGGCTGGGAGGTGAAGAAGCTCCGCGGCCTGGTCGGGGAGGAGCGCAACGTCCAGGATCGCCGCAAGGAGCACTTCTTCGGCGCCGGCTTCTCCGAGGAGGGCTTGCCGCCCCTGGGCGTCGCAGGCTGCGGGATATCGCGGCCCCCGAGCCGAGGAGACGCAAGCATGGATTAGGGCGCGCGAGTGAGCGACGGGATCCATGGATCTGGCGCCTACGCGCCAGATCCACGGATCTGTACACGCTAGTCATGGAAAGTAGGTACGTAGCACCCCGCAGTTGCGGATACCGTCGGGGCGTTGACCTAAGGAACCCTAAATAAGGAACGAGGCCCCTTTTTTATAAGTTCAACTTCGATTTCCCATGGAAAACCTCGGGAACACTTGAGGCAAGCTGTAAACAGATCAAGGAACACCGAGCCCCTCCCCAACGCAAAAGGGTTCCTTCTTCAGCGCCCCGACTGTAAGAGTGAGGGGCGGCGGGGACATCGGCAGTCTGCGAGGCTTTGATGAAGCCCGCCGCAGGCGCCTAATTTTTCCAAAACATACATTGGGCTCGCCGCAGGCGCCGATTTGTTCGTTAAAGCGATGTGGATGGGTCGCGGGTGGGTCGCGAGCGGGTCGCGGGGTGGGTCGCGGGTGGGTCGCGGGTGGGTCGCGGGGTGGGTCGCGGGTGGGTCGCGGGTGGGTCGCGGGTGGGTCGTGGGTGGGTCGCAGGTGGGTCGTGGGTTGGTCGCGGCGGGTCGCGGGGTTGGTCGTGCGTGGGACGCGGGTTGTTCGCAGGTTGGGCCGCGGGGCGGACAACGACAACAAACAACAAACAACGGACAACGACGACAGCAACAACGACGACGACAACAATCACTGCAACAACAATCCGCACCGCAGAACCTCACTTCAGCCACGTGCCCAGGGACAGTACATGACCTTTCGCCCCCCTCCCTCTGATTTTGGATGCCCATATCCCAATATATCTCAAGCGCTGTCTTAGTTCAAGAAGACTCGATCTGCTTTTGCTGTGATTTTGTCTGATGTTTTCTGGGAGGGCCTAAACCCAATCTACTTTATCTGCCTGCCTACTTCATGTTTTTACCTCATTCTTTCGACCGACGTGTAATCTATCTCAGCGTGTGCCCGACAGAGGCGGCCCTCGATGGGTTTCGACCGACGGCAGCGGCCGTCGGAGGCCCTTTCGGCGGCCGTGTTGTGGCGACCCGCGGCGTACCAGGCGCAGGAGGCGTCACGAGAGTCTGCCCTCGAGGGCGTCCAGCAGCGCGCGCGCGCGCGTGTGTGTGTGTATGTGTGTGTGTGCGTGTGCGTGTGCGTGTGTGCGGGTGTGCGGGTGTGCGGGTGTGCGGGTGTGCGGGTGTGCGGGTGTGCGGGTGTGCGGGTGTGCGGGTGTGCGGGTGTGCGGGTGTGCGGGTGTGCGGTGCGTGCGTGCGTGCGTGCGTGCGTGCGTGCGTGCGTGCGTGCGTGTGTGTGTGTGTGTGTGTGTGTGTGTGTGTGTGTGTGTGTGTGTGTGTGTGTGTGTGTGTGTGTGTGTGTGCGTGCGTGCGTGCGTGCGTGCGTGCGTGCGTGCGTGCGTGCGTGCGTGCGTGCGTGCGTGCGTGCGCGCGTGCGCGCCTGCGCGCGTGCGTGGGTGCGTGCGTGCGTGCGTGCGCGCGCGCGTGCGTGCGTGCGCGCGTGCGTACGTGCGTGCGTGCCTGCGTGCGTGTGTGCGTGTGTGCGTGTGTGCGTGGCGTGTGTGTGTGTGTGTGTGTGTGTGTGAGTATGTGTATGTGTATGTGTCGATGTGTGTGTGTGATTTTCATCGGGGGTAACGATAGAGGGGTGGGGGGGGATAGGGGTGGATACGTCAACACAGTCGTCCGATGATCGCCGACCGACAGCCCCGACCCGCCCAGGAAGGTGCGGTTCTGCTATCGGGGGCTTATCGCCGATCTATCGACGATGTATCGCCGATTCTAGGTCGATGTCTCCCCCCCCTTGCCAGTCCCCGGATCATTGCCCCTCAAATCAGAGGAAGCCCCGCTTTCGCTGCCAGGCAGAACCAAGTCGTGCCACGCACCTCCGTGTCCAGAAGCCTGGGCGCTACAGGCCACCCCACGGGTAGCTTGGTGTCGTGTGGGCTCGTCTAGAGGCGTGACTGGTGGTAGGCTCGTCGCCCTTTGTTGGGTCTTCTTGTGCATGTTCTTCGAATGTTCTTCTTGGGAGAGGACACCCTCGGATGTTGTTCGGTTTGGCCGGCGGAGGGCTTCATGTCCTTGAAGGATGTTATTCTGCCTGGTGTCCGGCTGCAATGGTCCCCCCCTTTCTCCGACAACCGCTGCTGCTACTGCTTGCCCTCCCGCACCGACAGGCACTGTTGCCACTGCCCGACCTGTCGCACTGCCAGTCCATACTGCCATTGCTTGCCTTGTCGCGCGAGTTGGCCAAGCCGCCTTGTAGCTGATAAAGTGTTCTCGCTTCGCCTTTTGGCACCGACACCGCTGGTGTCACTTCCTGCCTTCTCGTACCGACAGGGCCTGCTGCCGCTGCCTGCCTTCTCGCGCGAACTGACCCCCGCCGAAATGTCGCCGAAGATATTGCTCCTGCGCGGCCCACTGGCACGGACAACCGCTCCTGCCAGTGCCTTCCTTCTCGCACCGACAGGCCCTGCTGCCGCTGCTTGCCTTCTCGCACAAGCTAACCTCCGCTGCAACTGGAAATGTTGTTCCTGCGTGGCCGATTGGCACCGACAGCCGCTGCCGCCATTGCCTGCTATCCCGCACCGACAAGCCCTGCTGCCACTGCCTGCCTTCTCGCACGAGCTGGCCCCCGCTGCAATGTAACTGAAATTGTTGCTCCTGCGTGGCCGTCGGGCAATGGCACCTGGTACTGCGACTGCCTGCTTCCTCGCATTCTCGCATTGACACAGCTGATTTGGGCTGGATCTTGTTTGCCTGCTTCCACGCACGAGCCGCTCCCAACACTGTAGCTGATGGCCCTGCTGTTTTTGGCTGGCCCCTGTTCACCTGCTTTCGCGGGCACCGTTCTAACCTTGTAGCTGATGGTGTTTTTCTCCAGCTTCCCCTGCACTTTGGCGCCGCCCTGGCTCCGCTGCATGCCAAGAGGTGGAGGGAGAGCGGGAGGAGTGTAGACACGACACGAAAACGGGGAGAGGCGTCGTTTGGCGGGTGACCGTGCGCCGAATCCCAGCATTGTAGCCGATAGCGTAAGGCTCCACGATCTATGATGCGGTCAGGGTCGTTCCAGCGTGTGTCCCTGCGCGCCCCGTGCAGGGGGGGACCGATCGGGCGCGAAATGGCTGGGATGAGGAGGCGCAGAAGCAGCAGGCGCAGGAGTAGGAGGATCGGGAAGGACCCGAGGACCAGTATACGGTGGGGGAGGGATACCTAGCGGGGCATTAACGATGATGAGTAGTGGACCGCGCCAGGGCGAGACCGCTGCCGTGAACGGCGTGAGCCACATGTATCCTAACATTGAGCCATCGCGGCAGTGGGAACACCATCTTGAAATCATGGATACGTTTCGCATGCGACACGCTGTACTCAAGAGCAAATGAGGGACGCACAACAAACGGGGACGTATGCGCCGACATTGGCGCGTACGTTGCCCGCGCACGGTCACGCGTAAGCGCCCTCGTTCCCAGTGTAGCATGCCGCGCAGGCGGCCTGCGTATGCCACCGCGTAATGTCGCTACGCCATATTGCGTAAGACCCTTTTCTTCTGGTCGCCCACGTGTTGAAGCCATCTGCTTTCAAAGCAGTATGCATCAGACAACGGGCCCCGCTCGGACAGCATCTAACTGGGGGGGGGGTGAGGACAAGGAGGAGAGGGACGGGAAAGGAAGGGTTTACGAGGGGCGGGGAAGATGTTGATGAGGGGGAAGGGGACGGGATCAGGAGGAGGAGGAGGAGGAGGAAGCACGGGGGGCGGAGGATGGATGACGGAGGACGTGGAGGAGGAGGAACAAGGAAGGAATGTGGGAGGCGGAGGGAGGAGGATGACGCGGAAGGGAGGAAGGGGGGCGGAGTTTATGGAATGCGTTTCCGCTAGGATGGTATCAGATGGTGACCCCTGACATGGAGCGCCGAACGTACAAGCAGTGGTTTCGCGCGCACATGACCCGCGTTGTACAGTTCTGGCGTCCAGATTATGTGAGGGAGGAGGAGGAGGAGGAGGAGGAGGAGAAGGCGGACGAGGAGGAGGAACCCCTTCGCCCCCTCCATCGGCCCCCTCCTCCCCCCCGCTTCCTCGGGCCCTCTCTGTGCGCTGGGCGCAGGACAGCGTGGGCCCGCTGTTCCCGCCCTCGTGGAAGTCCCCGATCAAGATCGCAGGCGGCAGTTCACCCCGCCCCGCGCGCGGCGCTCAGCCGCTCGACGGCGACGAGGTGCACTTGGCCAATTGCTCAATGTCCGATGCGGGGGGGGGGTAGGAGGAGAAGGAGGAGGAGGAGACGGAGGAGGAGGAGGCGGCGGAGGGGGAGGAAGAGGAGAAGGAGGAGAAGGAGGAGGAGGAGGAGGAGGAAGAGGAGGAGGAGGAGGAGGAGGAGTTGGAGGAGGAGGTCCAATGCAAACCCAAGACTCAGCAACGATGTTGCAATACGCCCTCCCTCCATGTACTCTTTCCATCGCAAAGCTATTTTCACTGGGGGAAGTGTCCGACTAGACAGCAACCTTTTGCAAATCTGGATACGCGCCAGAGCACCATTCTTGTGAATCCAACGCCGCGAATCAGAGTTACTGTTGCGTCTTGACGATCCAGAATCGTGCCAGAACGCCACTACTGGGGTTTCAGCACCGCGAATGAACGCAATTGCTGCGCCCTGACAGTCCGACTGGCACGCCAGGCGTAAGAATCCGTAACACTGCAGCAAATTCGTAAGACTAATATGCGCCGCGCTGAGGCGAAAACCATATTTTGAAAAGGTATCGCCCTCCAACCGCGGAGCTCGTGCAGACTTTGAAGGCGGATGTGCGCGGCGCTAAGGCGAGAGCAGCACTTTGAAAACGGCCCGCCCTCAAGCCGTGACGCGCTTACAACATACGGCGCTACGGCGGAAACCAGAGTTTGAACACGACGTGCCCTCCACCCGTGACCGTGTCACAAATCTTTAGCTTGAGGATTCCGAATGGTTGGGAAGTCTCAGGCGAAATGCCCGGCAGCCATGCCGACACGTTCTCGCGGGATGCGACAGGGAGACGTTCTTGATAGGAGTAGGAGTTGGGTGGGGAAGGAGAAGGAAGAGGAGGGAGGGAGAGGACGCAGAGCAATTTGGGACATCGCAAGTGCAGCAGGCCGCGCACTGAGCACTACTGGCCCGCACTGTCGAGTTGGAGGTGAAGTGGAGAGAGGAGGGCGCTACGTTCGGACGAACCTTGCAGATACCAGGTGTTAGGAGGAGGAGGAGGACCAGTGCAAACCCAAAATTCATGAACGATGCTGAAATACACCCTCCCTCCAAGGTCCATCTTCAGAGGCCCCGACAAGGGGTCATTGACACTGAGAGAAATGCCCCGTTGGGGGGCAACCGCGTGAACAACTTGAACCGTGCCAGGACGCCATCTTGGAATTTCAACACAGCGAAACAAAGTAAGTGTTAGTCCTTGGCAATGCTGAGTCGTTCCACCACACTATATTTGAGGCACGTGAATCATGACAACCAATGAAACTCTTGCAACGCTTTAAGGCGAAAGTGCGCGGCGCTGAGGCGAGAACCACATTTGGCCCGCCCTCAACCCGTGAAGCCCTTGCAAATTTTCAGCACGAATGTGCGCGGCGCTGAGGCGATAACCACATTTTGAAAACTAACCGCGTTCAACCCGTGAGTCTCTGTCAAATGTTTGAGACGATTGTGCGCGGTGTTGAGGCGAGAGCCACATTTTGAAAACCACCCGCCCTCAATCGGTGAAACTCTTGCGGCTTTTAAGACGAACGTTCGCCGCGCTAAGGTGGTAGCCACATTTTGAGAACGACCCGCCCTCAATATGTGAATCTCTTTCGACTGTTTGAGACGAATGTGCGCGGCGCCAAGGCGATAACTACATGTTGAAAACGATCCGCCGTCAATCCGTGAATCTCTGTCAAATGTTTGAGACGACTGTGCGTGGCGCTAAGGCGAGAGCCATACTACCCGCCCTCCATGTGTGAATAGCGTCACAAATGGTGGGGAAGTCTCAGGCAAAACGCCCGGCCCGCCCTTTCGACCGATCTCGGGGTGCGACAGGGAGGAGTTATTGATAAGGAAAAGGAATGGAGGATGAGGAGTTGGAGGAGGAGGAGGAGGAGGATGTGGAGGAGGAGGGGGTAGGGGCTGCGATCTGACGAACCCCGTAGCCAATAGCTACAGCCACAGGAGGAGGGAGAGGAGCAGGTGGGACAGGTGGATGAGGACGAGGAGGAGGAGGACGACGAACCTTGCAGCCATCAGGTGTCAGGTGTCAGGTGTCAGTAGGGTGAGGAGGAGGAGGAGGAGCAGGAGGAGGAGCAGGAGGAAGAGGAAAGGGAGGAGGAGGAGGATCGGAGGGGAGACGCGCGCCTGCGCCCGTGCTCTTTAGTGGAGTCGAACTATCCGCCCACGGCAGCTGCTTTCGCCGCCGCCTTACACGGAGGAGGGGCATCGCGGCACCGCGGTCCCTCTCAGCGGGGGGGTCGGTGTCCCCCAATTTTTTCCTTTCCTCCTCCTGAACCCCTCTCCTTCCGCTTCCTCGTCCTCCGTTTCGTCCTCCTCTCTTCTTCTTCCTCCTTCTCCTCCCCCTCCTCCTCCTTCTACTTCTCCTCCTCCTTTCATCCTCCTCTTCCTCCCTGTCCCGTCCCTCTCCCCGTCAAGGGGGAGGGGGAGGGTGCAGGTGCCGGCGCCTTCGGGCGCCGACGTAGAGCCCTCGGGCGCCGACGTTTTGTCGCGGCCGTCGTCGGCTTCCACTTCTATTCCCGAGTCGTGGGCAAGTCTGCGCAGGGCCTAGCAAGCGAGCGACGTGGGGCGGACCGTCGTCCGCACCTTCTGCCTCATGCTCCCATCCTCGTCCTCTCACCCTCTCTTCCCTTACCCCCCCCCACCTCCAATCGATGCGCTTCCCTCTTCGCCTGCTCGTCGTCCTGCCTGTCCCTCTCGTCGTTCTCCACCGCCTTTTTCCCCCTCTCCTCCTCGTCCTCTCCATCTTCCTCCTCCTCCTCCTCCCGTCCTCGTGACCGTCGTCTCTTCCCATCCTCCCCCCACCCTCCTGCTCCTTCGTCTAATTCTTTTCTCACCCCAAGGTTTCTCTCCAGAGGAGTCTGCCCCTCTCCCGTCGGGAACAGGGGGAGGACGAGGTGGAGTAAGACGAGGCGAGGCGAGCAACGAAGCGCCGTCTGAACCAGCTGACGCCCGTGGGGCACCAGCGCCCTTGCGCACCCACTGCAGTAAGGGCCCGACCACAAGAAACCTTCCACACAGCTTGACCGCACAGCAGGAATTCGATATTGCAGGGTGAGGTCTGAAAAAGGTGGAGCACGTCTCCCTGGTCCGTCTGGATCAGGCGCGGCCCTGCCAGTTGCCAACCTACCCTTTTGCAAGCTCAGGAAATCAGCGGCCACGGGCCCTCGGACCAGGCTCCGCTGGGGTCTCTGAGAGAGCAGCTGGCTGGCCAGGACCCAGGCAGGCTCTTCTCAAATTGTAATCTTCAACCATTTTCTCCCAGATCCAACAGCGGCACCGAACAACCAGGGCGACCGTGAAGTCCAACGCGGGGTCGGAGCTGGGATCCTTGTGGGTGCAAATGTAAGGAGTGACGCGAACACGACCTGTAGCACCTATCAGCTCCGCAGCCATCGCCCTCAGACTACGTAGAGTAGAGTTGAATCGGGCGCCCCTGAAAAGGCGGCCCCGTCTCCACTAGGCATGGGCCCAGGCCTCCAGAGCGCCGCGACCCTGGCGCCGGCAGACCTGAGGACTCGGAGCGTCTCGCGGCGAGGTTGCAGCTGCTTCGTGCGGCGTGTCTCTATCCTACGCTGGACTGCCCGTTCGTGCAAGTCGTGACCTAAATTTCGCACGTGGCTTTGACCTTTTTTAACCCGAGCATGCGAGCTGGCAGATTCATCCGCATCTCCGAAGCAGTCGAACGAGCGAGATATCCTGATCTAGTCGGCTGCAGCGACAAACCCGCGGGCTCTACTTCCTTGCAGAAGAATATGACAGCTGAAAGATCAGCTCAGATCGACTGGTTTCTCCCCTCTCCCATTTCAAAGATACATGTGGCGCGTATCCCTATGCTGGGGAATATACGCGCCGTTTCACGCACGGGGACCAGCAGGGCCGCCAGCGTCACGGCGCAGGCGTGCGATCACCCAGCCAACATGGCCTAAACAGACAAGTAGACCTCTGAGAGGCTTGGTCTAAAAGCATCAATCCTTCTGGTGGCCATATAACATTGCACTAACATCCACACCAGGCGGACATCTGGAACGGCTTCTCTGCTTGAGCATTTCATAGCACTCAGCCATGGCAAGCAACGCACTGATCCAGTGCGCATTTTTTGCCCTCGCAATCTCCGCCGACAGGTTCACATCTAACGCAGAATCTCTTGAGCTGCGACTCTTCCCGCCCCCCCGAATTCTTTCGTGCTGTTGGCCAGCCCTCAGCGCTGCAACACTGGGCGACTTGCCCTGGCCCAAACTCGGACGAGCGACTCCAGGAGCGCTATCTAGCGCGGCGGCCTCCGTCAGGCCTGCCTGACTGTATGAGTCGGGCAACAAACCTCTGGGACGGGCAACTCAACCGTTTATCGCGCCGATGCAGCAACGCTATCAAGGCAACAAGCGTGTCGCCCGAAAGATGCATGAGCGACCAAGGTTAGATTCGACTGTCTCAAAACGGCAGATCTCAAGTCTGCCGGGGGGCGTCTCTGGGAAGCTCGGGCCGGCCACGGCCGTGCGTGGCCCAAATGGCCCTCCTTCCGAAACAGCGTCATCCGCTAATTCGAGGGGCTGGGCTCGCTCCCTGGCTCCGATGGCTTCCTGGATCGCCCTGGCCTTGGTGAACATGTGGGCGCCTTGGGCGCCTCCCCCAACAAAAACACGCCTGACCCATTTCAGCCTCACTTCTCTGTTGGCCTCGAGATGCGCCGCCTCACGCTGGGCCGCCTGACCTAGAATCCTCGAGATCAGGTCTGGAAAAGCCGGGCCTCCTAGCGACCCTACATCCGTTCTGAAGCAAGAACACCTTTCAGTCAAGCATTCCAGACAATTATGCACACACCCCAGCCTGCTGATGCGGCCGAAGAGGCGCCCCACCTCGAGCAGCACCTTTGCCACTCGGATACCTCGAGCCTCGGGATGTAGCTGTGCAAGGCCATCCACTGATCGCAGGTGTCGGGCCCACATGGCCGCTATACTCCGTGCTGCTTGCTCTGTGGTTGGCTAAATATGCGGCCTGTGTTCAAGCTTCAATTCCTTCCAGTTCACCTCGTGTTGTCCTGCACGACCTTCGAACTTGGCTAATTCTTGTCCCACAATGTCGTGCCCATCCAGAATCTCTCATTCGGCACCACTCAGAACATTATTATCCCAGAACTCGCCGATGTCCTCACCGTTCCCAGCCGACTCAATTCTGCTGTGAAGCTTTGGCCACTGCTTCGGGTGCCTAGCACAACCAGGCTTCGTCACCGTGGGGACCTTTCTCGGCTGGCAAGGCATTGAACACCAGAAAGTCGTGTTCACCCCCGCTATGTTGATGTCACCTGGTTTGTGCGGCGCGTTGTCAGTGTCCTCGTACACCCGCGCTACAATTGCCCCGATGGCCAAGAACGCACTCATCACCATATAATGAAAATACCGGACATCCTCTGAGTACATGTCACATCGACGAAGGTGTTGACATTACCCCATCCAATCGTTGACGCCCAAGACACAACCCCATCTGAAAATCTGTTTCGCATAGCCGTTCATACCCAAGCTCCTCCTGTACGCGCATGAGATATGCGTCTAACTCTACAGGATGGCCACGCTGGTAGGACCCCACCTTCCTTCAACATGCAAGTATCCGCTCACTCCTAGGATGCCCCCCCGTTCGCCGCCTGGTGGGACTGGGCAGCCACTGCGCGCGCTGCTTGGGGGCGCTGTGACTTGAATGCGCCTCGGAGCCAGCGCGGCGGCCCCAGCGCTCGCGCCACCCCCTTGCGCGTCCGACGCCTTCGCCCATGCCCACGTGGTACGCCCGAGCCTGGAAGCCTGGGAGCTTGGCACTTGAGTGATGTTCTTGCACGCGCAGCACCATGGGAGTACTCGCTAGAGACGACGTTCGCGACTCCAGCAGCTTCGCCAGGGGCCCATGCGACGTAGCATTTGCGGTCGCAACTCCCACCGTCCTTACACATCTAATGATACAAGCCATTCTGGTAGAGCATCGCAGCCACCTAGATGAAGATGTCGGCGTCGGCGCGAGCTCTCTCTGCGAACTTCTCGAGCTGCTCGCCCGCCCTCCTCGCTCCCTCGCTGCACTGCTCCTCCGCGCCGGGGCTTCCGATGCGGACCGACCCGAGGCATTCCCGGAGCACCCTCTGGGTCGCCCGTGCACTGAGGACTCCAGCTTCGCGCCGGCGCGGCGCCGTCCTCTGCGGCTGCCCCGGGGCCACCTGGCGCCGGGGCCGCTCCAGGACCGCCTGCCGCAGGAGCGCCGCTGCGCGAGGTCGCCCCGTGGCCGCCTGCCCCTGGAGCTCCCGCTGCCGGCGCCCCAGCGGCGCGTCTGGCAGCCCCTGCCCGTGCCCTCCTCTGGTCCGCCGGGGCCTTCGCGGCCGCGCGCGCCTCCTCGGGCGCCTCGCGCAGGTTCTTCGCCGTGCCTTCTGGCTCCCCGAAGCCCTGCAGCAGCTCGCTCAGCCGCTCGGCCGGCAAGCCCGCGGCCACCCCGAGCACCTGCCGCAGCGACTGAGGCTTCCCACGCTCTCCTTCTGGTGGCAGCGGCGCCTCCCCCACCACCTCGCGCCTGGTCTCCTCCAGCTCGAGCAGCTTCTTCTCGGCGTCGCCCAGCGCGCGTTGTGCCTCCGCCGCCGCATGCTGGGCTGCCAGCACACCTTCTCCTGGAGGGCCTGGACGGTGGCCTTCTGGCGCTCTTACATCTTCTGCAGCTTAGCGTGCAGGAAAGACATCTCCTTGAGACGCGTGTTGAGCGGCTTGGCAGCCACCAGCCTCCCGCGCAGCGTGCTCTGTCGCTCCCTGAGCTTCGCGCGCGCCTCTTTGACCTCATCCGTGCTGATATCCTTGATCGCCTCGATGTTGGCAGTACTCTCTGCCAGCTGCTGCTTGATACCGCCATCAGGGGCCGCGTCGCCGTCGTCCACCTCCACCGCCTCCTAAGGCCCAGGGGGGCTCTGGCAACTTGAGCCTTGAGCTGCGCCAACTCCTGCTTGACTCTCTTAAGCTCCTGCTCGGCCTTGCCGCTGCTGGACGAACCCGCTGCAGCGCGCTGTGAAGGCAGCCTGAAGCTCTGGAGCCTTCGAGTGCCGAACTCTTGTGTTGCTGACACTTGCTGCACCTCATGAGGTCGGACCTGCTTCACCACCTGTTTCCTGAGTTCGACCAGCAGTTCTTGCAGTATCACGGAGCCGTCCATGCCTTACGTTTGGCCTTGTGAACTGAGAGCAACGGATCGCCACCTGCACCTCCCTCTCGCGCCATCTGGCGCGGCCTTTCGGCTGCACCCAAGTGGTGTAGCAGCTCGCTGAGGGATGTGGGCTGGTACCGCAGTGCAGTGTGTGAAAGAAAGGATGTGCCCTCAGCCTGGGCAGGCTGCTGAAGGAACACCAGCTAGCGGGGGCCGCTACTCCCCCACGACACAGTGTCAAGCCCAGTGCGAAACACTCCGTACTTGACCCCTAATTGCTACGGAGGAGGAGGAAGAGAAGGAAGAAGGAGGAAGGAGGACGAAGGAGGAGGAGGAGGAGGAGGAGGAGGACCACTGAGACCGCCCGTTCTCGTGAGATGCCCGCCGGCGACCAGCAGACTCCCCCCAGCCTGAATTCGGGCCAGAAGCTCGGCGGGGGGCGGAGTCCCTTGAGGAACGGGGGTACGGGCGAAGCTCCAGCTCTGCGGCGGCTCTGCTTCCTTGCCTCCAGCTGCTGGTTGCCGCCTGTTCTCGAGCACGGTGGCGTGGCGAGGTAATCTGGGAGGATACGGAGAAGAGAGGACGGTGAGCGGATACGGAGAAGAGAGGACGGTGGGCGGGAGAAGATGGAGCAGGAGGGGGGCGAGCGGGAGCGGGAGGAGAGGCGAGACCGAGGAAGAGGGATTTTCTCCGCAGGTCCCGGGACGTCTCTTGAGTCCCCGCGCGCGCCCAGAGGTCCCCAGAGGCCTACAGGGTCCCGACAGGACCCAAGCCCTTCAAAAAATCGTCGGTCCTCGACGGCGCCTGGGCCCGACAGGGCCCAGACTCAAACTCCTCGATCGTCCTCGGTTGGGACCGGGTGAGAGCTCGGGCCGCGCAGGGAGTGCCCGCTGGCCGCCAGACCCTTGGTCAGAGAAGCCGCCGCCAGGCGGCCCGCCGGACTCGCAGCCGGCGAAACGCCGCCTCCGCGCCACGGAGCTGGAGGGGGCTGCGGCGCTCGTCGGCTCGGCGGAGGCCGCGTTCGACGAGGCCACCGAGGACTCCACCCCTCCGCCCCCCGCTGCTCCTGGTCCAGATCTTGAATGTCGAGGCCTTGAGGTCATTTGGCGTTTGCATCTGTTGCTATTGCCTTCTCGCCGCCACGGCTGGATGCGCCTCTCAATTCTTCCGGGGTGGCGTTAGGAGGGATAGGCTTGGGGGGGAGTTGCATCGGCTCCCAGTCGCCCATGCGTCGCCGATGAGGGCTCGATTTCCCCGCTCTCCTTTGCCTTCAAGGGGCGGGGGGACAACGCTCCCGGCGGCGAGAGATCTATTATTTTTCTCCCCGATGATTTCTCCCCCCCTTTGATGGTCGAATTGGTGCTTGTGCTGGTTGTCGTGCTGGTGGTTGTGCTGGAAGGCTTCGAAACAAGCTCGTCTGGAGCTTTCGAGTCCGTGCGCAGGAGGCTTCGGGAGGGGAAGCCTTTCAAGAGGCACGCAGGGACTTCGACGGAGGCTTTGAAGGATTCTCTCAACCCTTGGGTTCTCTCAATTCTTCGAGCCAGGTTTGGCAGTGTTCTCTCAACCCTTCGAAGGAGACTTCATGGGATTCCCGAATCCTTTCATGCATGCTTTCGAACGCCTCTGCACTCTGTCGATGTTTTGGCGTGGACATTCAATTTTACACCAGTCAACTGCTGTATCCCAAGCGGCGGCTGCTGCGGCAGCTGCTGCGGCGGATGTTGCGGCGGCAGCGGCAGCTGTGGCGGCAGCTGCGGTGGCTGTGGCGGCGGCTGTGGCGGCGGATGCCGCGGCTGCGGCGGCGGCGGCAGCAGCCGCGGCTGTGGCTTCGGCGGCTGCGGCTGCTGCTGCGGCGGCTGCTACTGGTGCGGCGGCGGCGGCTGCGGCGGCGGCTGCGGCGGCGGCGGCGGCCGCTGCGCCTGCGACGCCTGCGGCGCCTGCCGTGCCTGCGGCGGCTGCTGCTGTTCGATTCCGCTGCCCGCTAATCTTCGACCGATTCCAGCCCACGTGCAGTCGGCGATCTGGGCCGCCCAAATATTTAATTATCATTCTTCGCCTCGAAGAAGGTGTATACATTTGTCTGGTGCATTTTGCCGGAGCTCCCAGCGCTGGTAGAATTTCACTAAAGTCTTTGATCCACGTCCCCTGGTCCTGGACGCGTTCTGGGTGTGGCCGTCTGGTCAAAGGGCCTTGTGCGGCCGAGGCAGGAATGCCAGTCTGACAATGGGGCGCCACTACCAACAGGGGGATGGACGGCGCAGATCTCCTGGTTGATGGCGGGGCGCCATTGTCAGAGGTCTTTCACGGCCGAGGCGAGAATGCGCGCATTTGACAGTGAGGCCCCAGCGTCAACGGCAAACTTGGCCAGCCCCCCTGGGGTCAAATCTGCAATTTGAATCCGATGGATGGGGTGCAGGGGTGGAGCGATCTCACTCGCATTGCCACCCCGAATTGGTCGGCGGATTATGATGACGACTGGTGTGTGGCGACGACGGGCTGCTGAAGGAATTGCCGTCGTTTGTGCATGTGGCACCGTCCGGTCCCCGGTTTAGCCTGGCGGGCTTGGCTTGACTTGGACAGCGGGGGCGAAGGAAGCGCAGTGGGGTGTAAACTCAGGCGGAAGATGAGCAGCAGCAACGGCGGTGGTTGTAGCAGCAGGACAGGGCGGCACGTCGCGGAACCGCCTCGCTCCATTTGGCCTACGTTTGTTTTTTCCCCGAGCGCTACGAGTGACGACGGCGGAACCCCACGCGACGCCTGGCAACACCATGGGGGTGCAGCACGACTCTGTCATCCAAACGGTGCTCTGGCGATTTCGTGGGCCGTTTAGGTTTCGACTTTTTTCTGCAGCAAGAGCGGACCGCAGACAAAACGAGGGAAACCGAGAACGGAACGTCAACGAACAACATTCTTGATCGTATGGAGCCAAGACGAGGATAAGTACATCCGTTCCAGAACGTTCCAGAACGCTCTCAGAGCGTTCCGAAACGCTCTGAGAAGGCTGCGGCGCCTCGGCTGCGGCGCCTCGAAGGGACGCCAACAATACACCACCACCAGCCCTCGCCGGGTCCATTCTGGGCCAATTCTTGGTGTAAAGACCTCCAGGCCTGGGCCAGGAGGGCCTGTACACCAGTCCAGGGCCCAGGATGGGCTTGGCCAGGGCTGGTGGTGTATTATTGTTTGACTCTCCTCGAGGGTGTAAGAGGTACCCATACCGATACCGTTCGCCGTGTCTCCCCTTTTGGGGCCTCCTGGGCGGCCCTCATCGCCACCGCTGGATTCGCCTTGAGATTCTGGTCAGAACGCACCCTTGGAGAGGTCCGCCTGGGAGTAGCGGTATCGATACCTTTTGTTTTCCCAGAACCGTCTGTTCTCCGGACGGGATGGTGACCGCCACTCCCTCCCCTTGGAGGGTGGGACGCGCTGAGGCAAGGACGCGCTGGGGTTTCAAATACGTAGCACCCAGCAGATGCGGATAAGAGTGAGGGGGCGGTGGGGACGTCGGCAGTCTACGAGACTCTGGAGAAGCCCGCCGCAGGGGCCAAAGTTCCACAAATCATACAACGAGCCCGCCGCAGGCGCCGATTTTTCTTCAAACCAATGTGGATCGGTCGCTGGTGGGTCGCGGGTGGGTCGCGGGTGGGTCGCGGGTGGGTCGCGGGTGGGTCGCGGGGTGGGTCGCGGGTGGGTCGCAAGTGGGTCGCGGGTGTGTCGCCTGTGGGTCGCGGGTGGGTCGCGGGGTGGGTCGCGGGTGTGTCGCGAGTTGGGTCTCGGGTAGGTCGCGGGTTGGTCTCGGGTAAGTCGCGTGGTTGGTCGCGGGTGTGTCCCGGGTTGGGTCTCGGGTAGGTCGCGGGGTCGCGGGGTGGGCCGCGGGGCGGGTCGCGTGGTGGGTCGAGGGTGGGTCGCGGGTGGGTCGCGGGGGGGCGACGACAACAAACAACAATAACAACAACACAACAAGCATAATCATCACCACGGATTCTCATGTCAGCCACGCACCCAGGGACAATGAATGACTGTTCGGCCCCTTCACTATGATTATAGTGCTTGAGGGGTTACCGCTTCCCCACTGAACCTGTTTCTGCTCTCTCTTGCCAATGTATCCTTCTCCTCGTCTCTTTCGATTTTTTTGGGGGAGGGTCCCCCATCAGGCATCTGTTGGAAAGACCGAAGTCTTCGGCACCCTTCCAGGAGGAGGGCGGAGGAGGAGAAGGAAGCCCAGGGGGCAAATGCTAACTTTCTGCGCTGGTGTCCATTGACATGCGTGACGCGGCTATTGCGCCAGTCCGCCTCGGAAGATCGGGATGGGTTCCGCGCGTCTGAAGGCAACCCGCGCTTCCCAGTAATTTTTCAGAGTTTCATTTGGCCTGCGTCCACGCGGTGCACCGAGTTTGTAAACGCACGGACTGTGAATTCACTGTTCCGTGGTATGAAGATGCGCATTTGGCCAGGTGGGCTTTATGTGCGACACTTGGAGCGTGATGTTTGATGCGATGCCTTAAACTCCTCCCTCTCCGCTCGCCGCTTCCTTTCCCCGTGCATCTCATCGGATGTGGCTCGCACAGTTCCGCGCGGGCGAGGGTGGCGAAGCCACTCCGTCTGCCGGCAGTGCCTCGAGGGGTCCTTTTCCTGAGGATGAGGGCGCATAGGAGGACGAGGAGAGGAAGAGAGAAGAGACAGTGAGGAGGAGCAAATAGGAAGAAGAGGGAGGAAGAGGAGAGGGAGGAGGAGAAGGAGGAGGATCAGCAGAAGACGGACGGCGCCAGTCCCCATCGCTTCCTCCCTGAAGCAGGATGGCGTGCGCTTCCGCATCTACAAGGTTGGAACTCTGGAGGTGCGCACGATCCAGGACCACACGTCACGCTGCCTCTGGCGCTGTTGAATGTTTTGAGGTATATGCCGTATGCTTCAGAATGGACGGAGCATGTGCGCAGTAGCATTCGTCAACATGCATGCTCGTAGACGTGCCTTGCTCATGATGGTATCCCGGCCCTGTCTCTCCCGCATCCTTCTCTCCCCGCCCTCCCTCCTTCCCTCCTCCCTCCCACCCCGCCGTCTGGAATGTCCACGACGGATTCGGCGAGAGAGGTCGCTGACATTGCTCGGTCAAGGTTGCACGCAGGAGGCGCCTATAGAATCTATAGAACGCGCTTTAGGTCCCCCCCTTGGCTTGCAACTCGGTGTAAGCCCGCTGCAAGCCCAAAGCAGATCCCTTCCTTTGTTCATTCGACTCGGCACAGAACGCAACAGCAAAAACATCAACGTATGGAGGTCCGCGCGGATTGCCTGGATCGGCGCTGCCCGCCTGGGGCGGCGTCGGAGGCGCCGTCGGGGGTCAGCGCCGATCCAAGCAATCCGCGCGGACCTCCGAACAAACATGTTTACGTGTTCACTGTCGGCAGGGCAATCAGTTTCGCTCTTTCGAATTTATCTGTCCTGAGGTCCTTTCGATCTTATGCTACCCTGGGGCATTGTCAGCAGGACAATGTCAGGATACATGGTCCATGCTTATTTGTCTTAGCCTTTCTTGGCCTGTCTCCGTCCTTGCTTTCGCAGTCTGAAGAATGCAATCCACGAATAGTGGAACTGATAGATAAAGAGAAAATGTTCTACCAACCCTCGTTTCCTCCTGAGTCGAGGGCGACAGTTGGCCCAGAGCGGTCTTCAGAGCGCCATCCAGACTACGGGCTGGGGAAGATCCGGGTCCAAGCTCGCCCGCCTCCCAGCATCGCAGGGAGGCGGGAGGCGGGCTGGGCATCCGTGCACCGTTTGGAATCACGCATTTGTCCCACCTGGGCCCGAGGTGTCAAGGCAGAGCAAATCCACATGCATCCTCATAACTGGCGATAGTTAAACAGCGACCGGCAGACTACCCCCAGCCCGGATTCGGGCCGGAAGCTCGGCAGGGTGCGAGAGTGCCTTCAGGCACAAGGGGGGAAAGCGAAAAGGAGAAGGCATTTTCAGAAGACGGCGGGGCTTATCAGAAGCCCTCTCCAGCCGTCTGGGAAGTTCTCTGTGTCTTCGGGGAGAGATCCGAACACTTCTCAGAAGTCCGGGGGACTTCCGAGCCTTCTGTTCCTTCTTCCCCCTGGGCGCGCCGCCGTCCTTTCCTCAGCATCGCATCCTCCGCTTTGGATGCAACTCCTGGGGGGGTATATCCGTGGTCGAAACTGGTCGACTCCTGCATGACCACGTGCAGTTTGGCTGAACACATGGCTCTCAATCGTTGTTGCGGAGACCTCCCAGGAGTTGCCTCCGAACTCCCCTCGGGCGGGGCCAGGACGAGGTGTTCCAGAGCGTTCCGGAACGCTCTCAGAGCGTTCTGGAATGCTCTGAGAAGGCAGCGGCGCCCGAGACATCTTCCAGAGCTGCCGGATCTCAGAGCGTCTCGACGTACTGTCGGCCTTGGTTAGTGGGTCGACCCTTCCAAATCAAGGGTACCCTTGCGTCCTGTGTCTCGCGACCCATGCCTTTGTCCATTCCCATGGCAACGTGGCCCTCGGAAGGGTCTTGTGTCCTCTCGTGTGTCCTGTCCGATCAAGTCCGACTGCATCCTCACCCGAATGTATCTTCGTCCTGGCTTCGTCTTACTTCTCCCTCCATCGGGGGCCACATGCGAACTCTACCCCTACCCCCCACGATTTCTGAGGGGGAGGGTGGGGTTCACTCCGTTCGGGAGCTCCCGAGCGAAGTGAACCCCACACTCCCCCTCAGAAATCGTGGGGGGTAAGGGTAGGGATCGCATGTGGCCCCCCCCACCTCCACCCCCTCCTCCCACTCCCAGCTCCCCTCCCGATGGACCCCTGGGCGCTCCCAGGAAGCGGGCGGCCCGGAGCTGGTCGGCGCCGCGTTCTCGCTCGCTCCGCAGCCGCGGGAGAGCGACGCGGCCCCGCTGAAGGAGGGGCTGTCCCGCCCTGCCACGCGGTGAGCAGCCCCAGACAGGCGGGCCAGACGAAAGGGGGGGGGGATTGGGGGAGGGGGGGGGGGGGTTCGAAATCTGCTGCATGCAGCTGGTTTCGGCCCCACCGAGGGGCCCATTCTTCGATACATAGTCGCCTCCGGCGCCGGGAGGCGCCGGGAGAATCAGCCACGTGAGTTGATTCTCAAACCCCCCCTTTGCTATCCCCCCCCTTTCGCCCGGCCCGAGACATGCTCGCGGTGTTCTGACGTTCCCGACTGCTGTCTGACGTTCTCGTGGGTTCCCGAAGGTTTCCCCTTGCGCTCTGGCTGCGGTTTCGCAGCCGTGCCTCGTCGGGCGCGCCCCGGGGTGCCCGCATCGCCCCGAGGGGCCGCCAGCGGCCCGAGTTCTGGCACGCATCATTCCATGCAGACGTGCTCGCGTCGGAGGAGGAGACGTGGCGGCGGGTCCTGGGCCGCCGCCGGCCTCCGCGGGCCTCCGTCGGGCCCCCGGGGCCCTCAGAGGGCGATCCGGTATACGCCGGTCGTTGAGAGCAGGTATTTCTGGACTTCCAGATCCCAGTTTGCTTCAAGCGGCTTCCTACTTCAAGAGCCGACGCGTTTTTTCTGTGGTTGGCTATTCTGGGAGGTCCTGAACCCAATCTATACTTGATCCGCCTTCCTACCTCATGTTTTCACCTACTTCTTCCGACCGGCGTGTAACTATCAGATGCCCACCCCGTTTGGGGGGGGGGCGGGGTTTCGGGGGGCCCGTCTTGAAGAGTTCAGGGCGTCGGAGGTGTGGGCCGCCGGGCGGTGAGCAGCCCGTACGGCGCGGCGGAGGAGGAGGAGGAGCGGCGGCGGCTGTGGCGGCGGCAGCGGCCGAGGGCTCCTCGCTCGTTCGGTCGCTTTTGTAACTACCCAGGGGCTCGGGCTCGTGACCTACCCTGGCAAGAGGTGTGAAGGGGGGGGAATTGAATGGAGTCCATTCCCTGGCCCAGCTCAAACGCGGTGTCCGTGCAGGAGATGTGGAATGCGAGGAGGGAAAGACGCACGGCAGCGTCAATGCAGGCGCCCCCCAACCAACCAGAGGTGAGCCAATCCTCCCAGCACCGACAGCTGTCGAGGTATAGGCAGCAACATGCCTCAAGGACCTCCTTCCCCTCTCCCTTCCCCATCCTCCTCCTCCTCCGCCTCCTCCTCCTCCTTGGTAGGAGGTTGTATCGTGGAGTCCGCTGGCGCCGTCCGTGTTGCCAACAAGGTGAAATGTGCGTGAGTGTGCGTGCGTGAGTGTGCGTGTGTGTGTGTGTGTGTGTGTTTGTGTGTGCGCGTGTGTCTGTTCCGCGCCCCTGCCGCCCTCGCGGCCTCTGGCCGCCTGCTGCTGTGCCTTGCTTGTTCACCCTCTTGCGGGTCTGCCGCTTCATTTTCGTGTCCTGAGACGTCTGCCGCCGATCCGTTCCACGACCACCTCGATCGCGCCTTCTCCACCCCCCTGTCGATCCCTCTCGTTGCCCCGTCCCGGCTGTCCCCCCACCTTACCTCGAATCATATCGTGTGGTCCCTTCTGGGTAGACCTGGCATGCCCCTGCTGCGTGAGCTCCGCGCGCCTCCACTCGGCCTTGGCTCACCTTTGCCGCGTTGTGGCCGCGACGCCAAAAAGGAAGTGTGTGTGTGTATGTGTGTGTGCGTGCGTGCGTGCGTGCGTGCGTGCGTGCGTGCGTCTTGTGTTTGTGTCTGTGTGCGTCCGCCGCGGGAGCGCGACGAGCGACCGGGCGGCGAGAGGACGACGACAAGATCGCCAAGGCGGTGCTGTACGTCGAGTGGGCGGAGGGGCGCACCGGGTTCGCCTACTTCACTGTCCTGGAGACGGGGAGCGGCGGCGTGGCCGTGCTGCAGAAGCACCCGGACGGCTCTGCCACCTGGGAGGATCAGGGGCAACGTCAGGGTGAAGTCGGGCGTGTCCCTTTACAGAGGGGATATTCAAACATAGTCAATTTTTCTTGGCGAAGGACCCAACCATCTGCCCCTTGTGAGCCCCGTTGTCGTGAGCATCATCTTCGGTGGAGCTCCCTATGGGGCCACAAGACGTGTGAGGAGTGCGCGGAAATGGGCGTTGCGGACGCATGTGGACGGTGCCTCTGGGGCCTTCGGTGGAGCTCCCGATGGAGTCACGAAACGTGTGAGGGGCGTGCCGAAATGGGTGTGGCGGACGCATGTGGACGGTGCCAGTGGGGCCTTTGGTGGAGCTCCCTATGGGGGCAAGAAACGTGTGAGGGGTGTGCCGAAATGCGCGTGACGGACGTATGTGGACGGTGCCAGTGGGGCCTTCGGTGGAGCTCCCCAAAGGTCCGTGCCTCAATGGGTGTGGCAGACGCATGTGGACGATGCCACTGGGGTTCTCGGTGGAGCTCCCTATGGGGCCACGAAATGTTGAGCGGTGTGACGACATGGGAAATGAGTGTGGCGGACGCATGTGGACGGTGCCTCTGCGGCCTTCGCTGGAACTCCCTATGGGGCCACGAATCGTGTGAGGGGCGTGCCGAAATGGGTGTGGTGGGCGCATGTGGACGATGCCAGTGGGGCCTTTGGTTGAGCTCCCGATGGAGCCACGAAACGTGTGAGGGGTGTGCCGAAATGGGTGTGGCGGACGCATGTGGACGGTGCCAGTGGGGCCTTCGAGCCACGAAACGTGTGAGGGGTGTGCCGAAATGGTAGATATGCGGGGAGCAGAGGCAGGAATGGGAGGAGGGAGGGGGCAGCGGGAGTGAGGTGACGCGGGGCGCTGTCTCTTCAAAACGAGGACCCAACATCACAGGATGGTTGGGAAAAATTGTATGTGGAGGATGTGTGTTTGTTTTTGGATTATGTTTGAATATTGTTTTGACTATTTTTCGATTTTTCGTCCAAGATCCGCCTGTAGGAGGACATGCCCGACCTAACGGTAGGGGAGATATCAGAGGGCGAGTGGAGAGAACGATAGTTGGCCTTCGGGGGGGACCTCGTCACCACGGCTGGACGCAGCTCTGAAAACTGGCACGTTTGGAACCCGGGATGGGTCCAGGGGCCGTTCTTGAGCTGCTCGCCTTGCTCCGAGGATAGGCTCGGGGGGGGGGATGCATCGACCCCCACATCGTCCACGCATCGCCGATAGGGGCCCTATAGCCCACCCCGCCCTGGAACGTGTCAAAGCGGCCTAGCGCCGATCTGTCGGCAATGCAGCGCCGATTCCAGGTCGACGTCCCCTCTCCCCCCCCCTGAGCCAGTCCCTTCGGATGCAACTCTTGGGATGTCAAATTCTGATTCTGGCCTGTTCCGAAATCCCGCTTAATCCCGCTTCATCCTGCTTCATCCGGCTTCATCCCGTTCAGTCCGCGGCCTCATCTGGCGTAGCAGCCCCCCGTGGGGCCTGCATCCTGCCTACTCTCTCCGACGAAGACCTCCCAGCAGTTGCCTCCCAACGGTTCCCCCCCCCCCACCCTGACGTCCCCCCTCCGAGGAGAGCCCGCCCGGCCTCGAGGCGCGCTACTGCGGCGCCAAGGCCCTGCGCACGGCGAGCGCGCACCCCGCGGGGCCCGTGCTGTCCGACGCGCGGGCCTACGCGGCGCGCTCGCACCGCACGGGCTGCGCGGCGTCGGCCTCGGTGCGCAGGCGGTTCGCGGAGGGGGCCCTGGACATGGCGCGGCGCAGGGCCCGTGCTCAGGTCCGCATCGCTTGGCGGATCCCCGCCCCCACTGGCTGGGCCATGGCACCTCGGCCCCTCACCGGCCCACCGCCCCAGGTCGGGGCATGCAGCATGGCCCGGCCAGAGCCGAAGAGAGCCGCACGTGTCCCAACCTGGGGGGGGACTAAGTTGGCCAGCGGGGCCGAGGCCATGCCAGGTGGGGGTGGGGTCGGGTAAGCGATGCTCACCAGGCCACCGGGGTCTAGGCGTGACGCAGGTGGCACTGGGCGGTCGTGGAGAGGACCGCGGGAGGAGTGAGCGCGGGCACGGCGCGCGGCTGCAGGCTGGGGTGGGGAGAGGGGCCAGCGAGGGATCCTGGGGGTTCTCGGCGGCGCGCCGAGGGTGTCGGGGCGGGTGGGGGTCATCCAATCAGGGGCAACGTAGGGGGGATAGCTCAGGGGGCGATGCATCGGCCCCCAATCGCCCATCCATCGGCGACAGGGTCCAACAGCCTGCCCAACCCAGGAACGCTCGGATCCGCTATGGGGAGCCTATCGCCAATCTGTCGGCGATGCATCGCCGAATGCAGGTCTATGTTTCTCACCCTTGAGTTGGTTCACCCCTGTCGTTCCCCTCATCTTGGGAGGCAGGGGGCTCCTCGGAAGAAGGATCGGCCCCTTGTTCTGGTTTGCCTCCGGTTTTCGTTACTTGTCTTGCCAGGGGAATCGTCGTCAAGGGTATTTTTGGAGACCGGCTCTCGTCTCGTTGTGTGATTGTTAGTTGATAATGATGTGATTCCAGTGTTGTGCTGTTATACGTGGTGATATCATGTACATGTGGTTGCATTCAGTGTGTGTACGCTGGCCGGCCTGTGCTGTACGTTGTCGTGTTTTGTGTCATGAGCACATAAACAACACCATCCACGCCGATGTTATTCCATGCTGTGTAGTGGTACGAGCTGCCGTGCTAGAATACACCACGATATCTTCTGCAACGCTATATCACGCTACCTATACGACCACCCTTCGGGTGATAAGGAGGTGAGGGGGGGAGGGGACCAACGTCGCACTCGATCGATCTCACTCTCGATATCACTATCGATCTCACTATCGATCTCACATTCGGTCTCACTATCGATCTCACTATCGATCTCCCATTCGGTCTCACTATCGATTTTCCTATCGATCTCACATTCGGTCTCACTATCGATCTCTCTATCGATATCACTATCGATCTCACAATCGATCTCACATCCGGTCTCACTATCGATCTCACCATCGATCTCATTATCGATCTCACAATCGATCTCACATTCGGTCTCACTATCGATCTCATTATCGATATCACAATCGATCTCACAATCGATCTCACAATCGGTCTCACTATCGATTTCACTATCGATCTCACATTCGGTCTCACTATCGATCTCACTATCGATATCACTATCGATCTCACCATCGATCTCACATTCGGTCTCACTATCGATCTCACGATCGATCTCACTATCGATCTCACTATCGATCTCACATTCGGTCTCACTATCGATATCATTATTCATATCACAATCGATCTCACAATCGATCTCACTATCGATCTCACAATCGATCTCACAATCAATCTCACTTTCGGTCTCACTATCGATTTCACTATCGATATCACAATCGATCTCACAGTCGATCTCACATTCGGTCTCACTATCGATATCACATTCGGTCTCTCTATCGATATCATCATCACCATCATCATCATCAGCACCATCATCATCATCAACATCATCATCATCGGGACACCGACGGGACACCGGCGGGACACCGGCGGGACACCGCGCGCCACCGGCCGCCTGGTGGAGAATCATTTGGTCCGGCCGCGCCTCAGCCACAGAGGACACCACCGGGACACCGGCGGGACACCGCGCGCCACCGGCCGCCCGGTGGAGAATCATTTGGTCCGGCCGCTCCTCAGCCACAGGAGACTTTCCTCTCGCCCGCTCACGCAGCTTCGCCTCGCCCGCACGCACGGCACGCACGAACACGAAACCGAAATCGATTTCCCGGTAGGGGGGCTCTCCGTTCCACTTCGATCTCACCCCCTCACCTCCGACTCAATGGTTGACGCGGCGTCTATGCCGTTGCGTTCTAGGCGGTGTGTTGACATGTGCAGGGGATGGTGGGGAGAGTCGGAGGGACGAGCCAAGTGGGATGGTGATATGCCTTTCTGCTGGTGGCCCCGACCACGCCTCGGATGGCAGTGCGCTTTCTGTTTTCTCTTGCTCTGTCACTCTCTCTCTCTCTTTCTCGCTTCCTGACCCGTCGTCTCTGCCCTCCCTCCTTCTTTCCCTCGGCGGCGAGCGAGGGTGGGAGTGAGAAGTGGAAGGCCTTCCCAGAAGGCAGCGGTACTTCTGAGAAATTGTATGTGTCTTCGGGGCGGGCTTAGAAAACATCTCAGTCCTCTGGGCCTGGAAGGCCCGCCCCTTCTCACTTCCCCCTCGGGCCCGCCGCCAATTCCCTCCCTCTCTTTCTCTCTCTCTCTCTCTCTCTCTTCCCTCCTCTCTCTCTCTCTCTCTTTTCTCGACGCCTCCTTTCTGATCCGCCCTCCCTGGGTCTCTGGCCCATCTTTCCCGCCCCCACCTCCCCTCTCCATCTCGCTCCTCTTCGACCAACGCTGCCCACTCGAGTCTCGTTGCGGCCTTGAATTCGAGCTAAATTGTGCTTTGGCGGTTTCGTTGACAGTTTTCGTTTTGATGCTGTTGCGCGGCAATGGCAGAACGAAGACAGCACGACGGAGAACGAACACGAACGGAAACGAGAAACACTGTTTAGCTCGAGTCCTGGTGCTGCCTGCTCGAGTCTCGCTGCCTCTCCGCCTCGCTCGGGCGCGCCCACGGTGGCCGCCCGGCCACCGCACATCACATAAGCGCTTCTCTGCCAGCATCTTCCGACTGGCAGATGCCGACTGATGCGCCCGTCGCCTCTAGCGGTGAGCGGGGCCCACAGAAACGCGCGAGGGGGGGGCCACCATCTCGCACTCCCCCTCTTCCTCCGGCCTCCTCCAGCTTCCAGCCTCTTCGTCCTCGTCCCTATCAGTGGAGGCAGACCAACCCTCAAGCATTAGTCCTCCTCCTCCTCCTCCCTTCACCTCGCCCTCCTTCTTGCCCTTCGGATCCCCCTCCTTCCTCCACTGGCGTCGTCCCCTCTCCTGCCGCTGCACGTTCCCCCTCCCCCTGTTGGTGCATCCTCTGCGCTCTGGAGGAGGAGGATGAGTTGGAGAAGGCGGAGGAGGAGGAGCACAGCACGCCTGCAGCGCATAAATGCCCATGTAGCATGCACCACGCAAACAATACACAATTTAGACTTCCCCCCCACGGCCGTTTCGCTCGAGACATCCTCGAATAAGTGTGATCTTCAAGGACGTGGTTTAGGCCGCTGTATGTTAAACATGAGGCTCCCGCTCGAGCCATCCTCCGAACAATGACATCTCCAGGGGTCTTGCGAATTCATAGAAATCTGAAACATGAGGCTCTCGCTCGAGACATCCTCGAAACAGTGGATGGCTAGATGACCTGCTTCAAGACGCTTTCTGTTCAAAGTGGGGCTCGCTCGAGACATCCTCGACAAACAACGGGACGAGGAGGTGTATGAGGAGGAGGAGGAGACGAAGGAGGAGGAGGAGGAGGGCGAGGGAAAAGGAGGAGGGGAGGAGGAGGGGGAGGAGGAGGAGGAGAGGGATGAGGAGGAGGAGGAGGAGGAGGAGGAGGAGGAGGACGAGGACGAGGACGAGGAGGAGGAGAGGGAGGAGGAGGAGGAGGAGGAGGAGGAGGAGGAGGAGGAGGAGGAGGCGGATTTGTTTCCAGTGCGCCGCTAACACCCAGGCTCCAAGGACAGAGACTGCCAGGGACTGGCCGCTAGGAAAATTGGGGCCCGCGGGTTTGAACCAGACTGGCTCGAACAGGAAGCGAGGCCGAACCCGTGCCACATGCGGTCGAAATCGAAAGTGACCAGACTTGTGAAGCCGAAGGAGCCTGTGCAATACTTGTCAAGCTGCATTCGCGAAGTAGCCCATCTTGCGGAGCCGCGCGAGCCTCTCCGCGCCGATGGTGGTGAGAGCTGACTCCTCGATCTGCGTCCTGATGACCTCGGGCTCCGACTTATCATCGACGCCATTGAAAGGCACGGCAGTAGCGTGCGTGACGTCGGTGGGCGGCTCGACGTGGCCACCTGTGTCGTAAATGTCGGACCCGTCCTCGACGCCATCGAAAGGCTCGGAAGTAGCGTGCGTGACGTCGGTGGGCGGCTCGACGTGGCCACCATTGTCGTAGATGTCGTCCAAGCCTGGGTCGAAGCGCCCCTCCTGCGGCTCGAAGTGAGCGCGTCCTTGACCACGAAGGGGGTCACGGTCATGAAGCGGCGGCGGCACCGTGACCGCGAGGGGGGTCATGGTCATCAAGCCGTTGTCCTCGCCGCACTGCCCCTCCCTCGAGATATCGTGCTCCTCCACACGGCCCCTGTCGAGGTCCTGGAAGAACGGCTTCCCTGGGATGAAGGTCTCGGCGTCGGCGCTGAAGCCAGCAAACTCCGCCTTGACGATGGTAGGGCGAATGGGCTTGTTCTCAGGAACCGAGGCGCCATCCGCGAAGTTGTAGAAAATTGCCTTGCCAACGGCAAGGTCTACATCCCCTCCAGTGGCAGCGGCGGCAAGTTGATCTGGCACGAACCGATGCTGACCAAGGGCGCCTGCGGAGCAGGAGGGGTCGTCGTCATCGTACTCGATCCGCACGTCGTAGTCGAGCGGCCGCCACTGGACATCGGCAGCAGCAACGGGCACGGGATGTTCTTCTCCTCGACGATCGTCTTGCACATGATGGCCATGAGCATCTTGTACTTGCGGCGCCGCTTGAAGTTCTTGATAGCGGAGCGGCTCGCAGGGTTGTACGTGTTTACTTCCGACTCCTTGGCCTCGTACTTCGCCTCTTGTTGCTGGCTGGGCTTGCGGACCCACCTCTTGAGCATCTTGATCGGCAGGATGCGAGGTTGAGGCGGAGTTGGCGGCTTCGGGATGGTCCCTGGCACCGGGGCCGTGGCCGCCAGGATGAGGGTGTCCACATTCAGCTCCACGGTCGGCGGGTCCCAGTTGCCCGGGGGCGGAGAAGGCGGCGGACCCAGTGGTCCCCAGAACTGTGACCTGGACGTCATTCCACCCTCCACCGCTGGCGAACTGCGAGACGCGATAGCCCAAGTCGCTGCACACGAGCTCGTACGGCACCACGAAGCTGAGGGGCATGCACAGACCCTCGCGGAAGTTGACCTCGGTGTTACGACGCAGTCGGCGTCGCCTCAAGCCGCAGCGGCGCAGGAAGCCTGGGCAGTGTGGCAGGAGCACGGGGTCGGCCCCGCCGTGCCCCCTTGAGCCAGATGGCTTGAGCCAGGCTTGAGCCAAAATGGCTACGGAGGAGGAGGAGGCGGAAGAGGAGGAGGGGGAGGAGGAGCAGCAGGAGGAGGAGGAGTTGGAGGAGGAGGAGGAGGAGGAGCAGCAGGAAGGGGAGCAGGAGGAGGAGGAGGATGAGGAGGCAGCCACGGAGAAAACCCAGACAAAGGAATAATGAACGAATAACACGAAGGAAACGCAAGAGGACGAGGACGAGGACGGCGACAGCGACGACGACGACGACGACACCAACGACGAATACCACAACGAACACGAGCTACCAACGGCGACCATCTGGGCACTCAGTGGAGCCCAAACAAGGACGAGAAGGAGGAGGAGGAGGATGAGGAGAAGGAGGACGAGGAGGAACATGAGGAGGACGAGAAGGAGGAGGAGGAGGAGGAGAAAGACGAGAAGAAGGATGATGAGGAGGAGCATGAGGAGGAAACTTAGAACGAGGAGGAGGAGGAGAAGGAGGAGAATTGGAGGGAGGAGGAGTTGGAGGAGGATTGGAGGAGGAGTTGGAGGATGAGCAGAAGAAGCAGGAGGAGGAGTAGGAGGAGTACATCACGCTCCCAGCGCATGAATGCCCACATAGAGCATACACCACGTACACAATACACCACTTACACTAAACACAAAGCGTACGCATACCCTGTGCCCCTCCCGCCCGCCCGCCAGGCACGCACCCTGTACGCACACCGTACACCCCCCCCCCCGCCCGCCATACACGCCTCGCACGCAGCGTGTACCCTCTCCCCCAGCCCCCCTGGTACACACCCTGCACACACACACACACACACACCCGCGCACACACGCGCACAGCCGCACACAGGCACAGGCACAGGCGCACACACACGCACACACAAAACGCACGCACGCACGCACGCCGACACACACACACACACGCGCACACACACACACACCTACACGCACACTACACACACACACACCCTGTACACTCACATACGCACAGACACAAGCATAGGCCATGCGCAATACTTGACCAACGCAACCGTAGGCAGCCACTAAACACGAGCTACGAATGGCGACCATCTGGGCACTCAGTGGAGCCCAGCGACTGCATCCATGTGCACGCATGCGCGTTGGTTGCAAATCCATGCGTGCGTGCGCACGCAAACTCAGAGAAGCGGCGCTTCCCGTTCTTGTCGGGAAAGGTTTCCCCCAAAACGGCAGTTTCGCTCGAGACGTCCTCGTCAAAGCGCGATCTTCGAGGACGTGGTTTCAGAAACAGGTTATTAAACATGAGCCTCCTGCTCGAGACATCCTCAGAACGAGTGAGGTCTCCGGGGGTCTTGCGAATTTGTCGGAATCTGATACATGAGGCTTTCGCTCGAGACATCTTCGAACACATGGGATGGACGACGAGCTGTTTCAAGACTTCTTCTGTTCAACATGGGGCTCTCGTTCGAGACATTCTCGAAACATGGAGATCTCCAGGGAGCTTGTGAATCGAGACGGTCCAAGAGGGGCCCAAGACAGCTCCAGGACTGTTAAAGAGCGCTCCAAGACGGTTCAAGATACCCTTCATGAGCTTCCTTATCATCAGTATCATCATGTTCCTCCCTCCTTCTGCCTGGCAGCGAGAGCTCTCCCTCTCTTCCTCCTTCGTTCTGCCTGGCCGCCGTTTTGTGATGGTTGTTGTCCTCCCTACCTCTCCCCTAGACGCCCTCCCTACCTCTCCCCTGGACGCCCTGCGATGCCTTCCCCCATCCCCTCCCCTCCCTGCAAAGATCCCTGCAATACCATGCCGAAGCCCCTGCAGAAACCCTCCCAAGACCGCGCGCAAAAGCCCCTGCGACGACACCTGCGAAGACCTTGCAATGCCTGGCAACACCTTGCAAACGACCCCGCACATCCTGCAATGGTTCTGCCAGGTACGGCAACCCAAAATGTAGACACATGGGTGGAAGCCGTAACAGTTGGGCGGGCCACCCACGTGTCCACATTGGGGGGCCACCCGCGTGCATACCTTTGGGTTGCCACCCATGTGTCCGCATTCGGGGTGCCACCCACGTGCGAACATGTGGTTTGCCACGCATGTGTCCACGTTTGGGTGGCAAGCCATACGTGGACGTGTGGTTTGCCCCCCGCGGGTCCACATTTGGGTGGTCGCACGTGGGTAAACGTTGGGGTTGCCACCCATGTTTCCACATTCGGGTGGCCCCCCCCACGTGCACGCACTTGGGTGGCCACCCGTTCGCACATGTGTGTTGGGTGCAAGTCCGTGCGCGCGTGCGCACGCAAACTCAGAGAAGCGGTGCTTCCCGTTCTTGTCCGGGGAGGTTCCCCCCCAAACAGCCTTTTCGCTCAACATCCTCGAACGAGTGGGATATTTGAGGACGTGGTTTAAGACGGTTTATTTTTTAAAAAGGAGGCTCTCGCTCGAGACATCCTCCGAACAGATGAGATTTCCAGGGATCTCGCGAATTCGCCGAAATCTCAAAACTGAGGCTCCCGCTCGAGACGTCCTCGAAATAATTGGATGGTGGACGAACTGTTTCAAGACGTCTTCTGTTCAAACTGGGGCTCTTGCTCGAGACAACCTTGAACGAACAAACAAGGAGGAGAAGGAGGAGGAGGAGGACGAGGAGAAGGAAAACGAGGAGGAACATGAGGAGGACGAGAAGGAGGAGGGGGAGGAGGAGGAGGAGGAAGAGGAGGAGGAGGAGGACGAGGAGAAGGAGTAGGAGGAGGAGCATGAGGAGGAAACTAAGAACGAGGAGGAGGAGGAGGAGGAGGAGGAGGAGGAGGAGGAGAGTTGGAGGGAGGAGGAGTTGGAGGAGGATTGGAGGAGGATTTGGAGGAGGAGGAGCAGAAGAAGCAGGAGGAGGAGTAGGAGGAGGAGTACATCACGCTCCCAGCGCATGAATGCCCACATAGAGCATACACCACGTACACAATACACCACTTACACTAAACACAAAGCGTACGCACACCCTGTGCCCCTCCCGCCCGCCCGCCAGGCACGCACCCTGTACGCACACCGTACACCCCCCCCGCCCGCCATACACGCCTCGCACGCAGCGTGCACCCTCTCCCCCCGCCCCCCTGGCACACACCCTGTACACCCCCGCGCACACACGCGCACAGCCGAACACAGGCACAGGCACAGGCACACACACACACACACACACACACACACGCACGCACGCACGCACGCACGCCAACACACACACGCACACACACACACACACACACACACACACACACACACACACACACGCACACACACACACACACACACACACTACACACACCCTGTACACACGCACAGGCACAAGCATAGGCCATGCGCAACACTTGACCAACGCAACCGCAGGCAACCACTAAACACGAGCTACCAATGGCGACCATCTGGGCACTCAGTGGAGCCCAGCGACTGCATCCATGTGCACGCATGCGCGTTGGTTGCAAATCCATGCGTGCGTGCGCACGCAAACTCAGAGAAGCGGCGCTTCCCGTTCTTGGCCGGAAAGGTCCCCCCCAAAACGGCCGTCTCGCTCGAGACATCTTCGACAAAGTGCGATCTTCAAGGACGTGGTTTAAGACATAGGTTATTACACATGAGCCTCCTGCGCGAGACATCCTCAGAACGAATGAGGTCTCCGGGGGTCTTGCGAATTTGTCGGAATCTGATACATGAGGCTCTCGCTCGAGACATCTTCGAACACATGGGATGGACGACGAGCTGTTGCAAGACTTCTTCTGTTCAACATGGGGCTCTCGTTCGAGACATTCTCGAAACATGAAGATCTCCAGGGAGCTTGTGAATCGAGACGGTCCAAGAGGGGCCCAAGACAGCTCCAGGACTGTTCAAGAGCGCCCCAAGACGTTCAAGATACCCTTCATGAGCTTCCTTATCATCAGTATCATCATCATGTTCCTCCCTCCTTCTGCCTGGCAGCGAGAGCTCTCCCTCTCTTCCTCCTTCGTTCTGCCTGGCCGCCGTTTTGTGATGGTTGTTGTCCTCCCTACCTCTCCCCTAGACGCCCTCCCTACCTCTCCCCTGGACGCCCTGCAATGCCTTCCCCCCTGCCCTCCCTGCAAAGACCCCTGCAATACCATGCCGAAGCCCCTGCAGAAACCCACCCAAGACCGCGCGCAAAAGCCCCTGCGACGACACCTGCGAAGACCTTGCAATGCCTGGCAACACCTTGCAAACGACCCCGCACATCCTGCAATGGTTCTGCCAGGTACGGCAACCCAAATGTAGACACATGGGTGGAAACCGTAACATTTGGGCGGGCCACCCGCGTGCATACCGTTGGGTTGCCACCCGTGTGGCCCATGTGGTCGCATTCGGGGTGCCACCCACGTGCGAGCACGTGCGAACCCGCGGGGTGGCACACCCACGGGGCGAGGAGGATTAGAGGAAGAGTCAGGGGGCAGCCTTAGGGAGGGATCGGCTCAAGGGGGCATGCATCGACTGCCAAGCGACCATCCCCCTGCCTGACCCAGGAACGTCCGGATTGGCTGTCGCGGGGCTATCGCCGATCTGTCGGCGATGCATCGCCGACTCCGGATCGATGATTCCATGCCTGCACCGGTCCCCTCTCTCGGGAGCGAGGAGCAGGAGGAGGAGGAGGATCGGGCGGCGAGCACAGGGCCTCCCCGGGTAGGGGCGAGCGCGGCGCGTCGAGGGCGGGCGGGCGAGAGCCGAGAGAGCAGCGGACTCGGCGAGGGAACGTCAGGAGGGGAAAAAACACACAGACACAATTCATCGTCGACTCCCAGGAAAATATGG